CAACAGTCCTCATATGGGTTCTGAAACATGTTTATGGACAATATTGCAATAATAATAAGGACAGAGTGAATGTATTTGTTGATAACTTAATTCACCATGTGAATCGTAATTTTAGTGTCATATAATTTCAAAAATTCATTTTGATTTCTATATTTCCATATACAAATAATGTGTATTAGCATAAATATGTATGCCATTTTGTGCACATCCATATAATTCAATATTTATAGTTCTCTTGGATACAAATAATTCAACTTAATTAATATGAAAAGGCTGTTAACCTTCAACTATTAGCTTGTACCATTTACTTTCAATTATCATTTACTCTTATAAGTCAAATGAAAATGGAAATTCTTAGATGCAGGCAGGCAGACAGCTCACTCTCATAGTCTAAGTGTTTGGGAGCAGAGATGGGTATCTCTGTGATTGTAAGACCAATTTATTGTACATAGTGAGTTCCAGGCAGACAGGACTACATAGAAAGACTTTTATTTTAAAAATCAAAAGGCATTCATATCTTCATAAGTCCAAGGAATGGAGTCATTGAAGCAAAGCATGCAAAAATGCTGAACTCTCTTGCTAGTTTGACCGTATTACTTTCCAAAGTACTGTATATGTGACACGAGCCATGTAAAGTCAGGTTTCTCTGTTGCATTTCACACATGTATTATTTCATATGATAAATATTCATTGAGACTCTTGTCTGAAAAGTATAAATGCCTTTGGGTATACTGAGCACTGGAAAATGACAATTTATTCAGTGATGTAATTTTACTTTCCATTTTTTCAAATGTGTGAAATTTCAAGGTACTAATACAGTCATGACATTTGCACATTTGATTTTATGGTTTATTTTTACTTTTATTTTATAAAAGGCAGTAGTAGTATCATAATCTCATATTTTATATTGGCAAAACAGTTTTCTCTATCCCACTTTATTTCAGTTTTTCAGGTCATTGTGCATATTCAAACTTTATAGCATGTAAATTAAGAGTTTTTACATATGTCCAATGATCTTAAGTGTTCTAGGTTATCAAGACATAAGTGACCTTGGTCATGGTGTTTTATCACAGCAACAGAAAAGTAACCAATCAGCATATACTGTTTAAAGAGCTTAAACATTATTTATGAAACAATCCCAAACTGGAGGAAAGAATGTTTAAAGATAAAACAAGCAAAGCATGGTGGGACAAACCTTTAATCCCAACACTGAGGAGGCAGAGACAGATCCCTGTGAGTTCAAATCCAGCATGGTCTACATAGTAAGTTGCAGATCAGCCAGGGCTACTCAGTGAGACCTTGTCTCAAGAAAAAAAAACAGGTAAATAAATAAATAATAAAATAAATATGAACGCATTAGAACATGCTTTGTACTGTTATTTATAAATGCACTACATAGTATTCATTAGTGTCAACACTGGTGTATGCACTATATTATATTGTAATACCAAACATAATGATTAATAAACTCTTCATTTATGAAGTCATGTAAGAACACTATTTCAGATTAACATTCTTTTTAGTGACTGCATGTTATGTTGAACCAAACCTGTTTCAAATGTTTGCTCTTTATGGTCATTATCCTAAAGACTGTGAACATCTGGACCCATGAACATATTAAATGTGTATGAATAAACCTGTTGGCATCACATCATGCAGTGGACTTGCCTCTTCCACAACCAATGCATTTCCATGGACGCCTATTGATTTTCTCCATTAACATCCTTGATCCAGTGAATCCACTATGGAATTAATTATTGAGAATAAGTTTCATTGGGGCTGGAGAAATGGCTCTACAGTTAAGAATGCTCACCTGCTCACTGCTCTTCCACAGGACCACAGTTCATTTCCTAGCACCCACGTAGGCTACACAGCTAACTGTAAATGCAGCTCTAGGGAATCTGGTGCCTCTCCTGAACCCCACAGTTTCCCACAATCAAGTGCATATGCCCATACACAGACAGATACACACATGCACATACTTGAAAATTCTAAAAATAAATCTTAGGAAATTAGTATCACATAAAGTGCTTTCAATCACAAAGATAATTTTACAAAGCTCAAGTGAAAGAAAATCCTGGTACTAAATAGAGAAATTAACAATATAGAATTTCTGCTCCCGAACACTTCATTGAATTAGAAAGTTTAAAAGGGAAATATTATGGGATGTTCCCAATCCACTGTAGAAATATGCAATTCACTACTTGTAAATAATGATCCTCTTCAAGCCAGGCATGGTGGCTCATGCTCAGGAGGCAGAGGCAGGTGGAGCTCTGTGAATATGAGGCCAGCCTGGTACTACAAAGTGAGTTCCAGGCCAGCTGGGGCTACAGGGAGACCCTGCCACAAAAAGACCAAAATAATTAATAATAGTAATAATGATGATAATAATCCTCTTCAAACTCATTTAACACCCAGAAATGCCAAAGCCCCATAGGACAGCGTTTTCAGATATATAGGAGTTAATCACAGGACCTCTGCACAGAAGTTATCATTGACAGATTTCACAGTTCATTCCTTCTTTCATTTTTGTTTATTTGCTAATTTGTTCTCAATCTCTCTTCCATGAGCAAATCTTGTGTCCATCCTATTGTTCAAGTCATAATTACTTTCTACTACTCAAACCTCATATCAATCAAGTGGTGAAGGCTGCTGATCACATCATCCAGTTTTACTGATATTGTGGTGGTTTACACAAACATTGTCTGGTTATGGGATCCTCTGCATCCTGTCTTCTTACTGTCCTATAATCTCTAACCCTAGAAACATCTAGTCTTCATTCATCCATTACACATTTTCATATATTTGCTACACTTTTACATAACTCAATCACACTCAATTAGCTTTACTCCTATTGATTTGAATATTCTATTTTATTTTTAGTCACATAAATATAAAAACACCCATCACCTGTTTCCAAATTTACTGTCTGTTGTTCATTTTCCTTGTATTATCTCACTGGTTGTTAGAAATGTGGTTATTGGGAATTCTTCATTTCTAAAGTGTGAAGAGAAATGGGAAGACCTTCCTAATAAGCATGATGAATACTCCTGCACTTTCATTAGAGTCTCACTGGAATAAAAGTTCCATTTTCACATGTGAGTGCTCAATAACTTCGTGTTTTAATTATGAGTGAACATTCAATATCTTCAATTTTGTGTGGTATTCTTATAGTCACAATTTTATTTTTTCTAATGTTACAACATATATACTAGCCACAAAAAAAAATGTA